TAGTTAGTAAAACACAAGTAAATATCTTTCTGGTAATCTTCGCTTTGAACCAAGATCCATCTGACATCAGCAATAATAACCCTCATTCCTTGTCCCCTTCTCAACCCAGCTTGCATTTCTGGAAATTCTCTATCAGTATATTGCTGCAACCATTTTTGAATTATCTTTACTAAGATTTTATTGTGTGCTATATTAATGATATTGTTCAATAATTTCCACGTTCTGTGGGATCACCTTTCTTTGGATTGGGTACAGATATGGATCTCTCTCAGTCAGTTGGCCAGGTAGCTGTGTTCCAAATCTCTTGGCATAGCCGAATGAGTGCCTCCAGTGTGGCATCCATTTGCTGAAACATCTCAATGAGTGTTCCATCATTTCCTGGAGTTTTGTTTTTCACCACTTCCTTCAGTGGAGCTTAGATTTCTTCCTTCAAAAACCATTGGTTCTCGATCATATGCCACCTCCTGAAATGGATGAACATCAACCAGTTCTTTTTGATACATGACCCTGTCTGTTCCTTCCATCTTCTTTTGATGTTCCTGCATCATTCAATTTATTGCCCATAGAATCTTTCAGTATTGCAACTTGAGGCTTAAATGTTTTCTTCAGTTCTTTCAGCTTGAGAAATGCTGAGCGTGTTCTACTCTTTGGGCTTTCCAACTCCATGTCTTTGTACATTTCATTGTAATAATTGATTTTGTCTTCTTGAGCTGCCCTTTGAAACCTTCTGTTGAGCTCTTTTATCTTGTCATTTCTTCCATTTGCTTTAGCCATTCTTCATTCAAGGGCAAATTTCATAGTCTCTTCAGACATTCTTTTTGGTCTTTTCTTCCTTTCCTGTTTTTGAATGACCTTTTCCTTCATGGATGATGTTCTTGATGTGATCCCAGAATTCCTCTGGTTTTTAGTCATTGGTGTTCAGTGCATCAAATCTGTTCTTTGGATGGTCTCCAAATTCAGGAGGGATATAATTAAGGTCATATTTTGGCTCTCATGGATTTGTTTTAATTGTCTTCAACTTCACCTTGCATATGAGTAGTTGATGGTCTATTCCACAGTCAGCTCCTGGCCTTGTTTTGGCTGAAGATATTGAACTTTTCCATTGCCTCTTGCCACAGATGTAGTAAGTGTGATTCCTGTGTACTCCATCTGTCTGTGTTGTTGAAACGTATTTGCAGTGAGTAAGTCATTGGTCTTGTAAAATTCTATCATGCTATCTCTACCATTTCTATCACCAAGGCCAAATTTTCCAACTACCAGTGATACTTCTTTGTTTCCATCTTTTGCATTCCAGCTGCCAGTGATAATCAGCACATCTTGATTGCATGTTCAGTCAATTTCAGACTGCAGAAGTTGGTTAAAAAAAAAAAAAAAAAACTTCAATTTCCTCATATTTGGCTTTAGTGACTGGTGCATAAATTTGAATGATAGTAGTATTAACTGGCCTGCCTTGTAGGTATATGGATACTAACAGCATTGTACTTCAGGATAAATCTTGAAACATCCTTTGTGATGATGAATGATGTGCCATTCTTCTTCTTTTTGTCTTTCCCGGCATAGCGGATCATATGGTTGCCTGATTCAAAATGGCCAGAACCGGTCCATTTCCGCTCACTGATCCTAGGATATCAAATCTTTATGTGTTCCATTTCATTTTTGACAACTTCGAATTTTTCTGGATTCATACTTAGTACATTCCATGTTCCAGTTATTAATGGATATTTGCAACTGTTTCTTCTCAGTTTGAGTTGTGCCACATCAGCAAATGGAGGTCCCAAAAGCTCTACTTTATCCATATCATTAAGGTTTGCTCTACTTTGATGAGGCAGCTCTTTCCCAGATGTTATCTTGAATGTCTTCTGACCTGAAGGGCTCATCTTCCAGTGCTGTGTCAGACAGTGTTTCAGGGGTATTCATAAAGTTGTCCAGTAATATATCAGTTAGTGTTTCACTGCTATTCATAAGGTTTAGTCTTGCAAAATTCTATCATGCACTCTCTGGTGTTATTTTTATCACCAAGGCCATATTTTCCATCTGCTGAAGCTGCTACTTTGTCTCCAACTTTTGCCTTCCGAAAAACAAACTCACTCACTGCTGACAAGTTGGATCTGACTCATAGCGATCCCTCCTTGGGTTTCTGAAGCAGTATCTCTATGGAAGTAGATTGCTCAGTCTTTCTTCCAAGGAGTGGTTGGCAGGTTTGAACCGCCAGCCTTCTGGTTGCAGTCAGATCCCTCAGACACTATACCACTAGAAATAATCAATACATGTTGATTGTGTGTTTGGTCATTTTCAGATTTCAGAAGTAGACGTCTTCAGTATCTTCATCTTTGGTTTTAGTGGTTGGTACGTCAGTTTGAATAATAGTCATATTAACTGGTCTTTCTTGTAGCCATTCTCCTATCACTGACAGCGTTGTACTTCAGGATAGATCTTGAAATGTTCTTTTTGATGATGAATGTGATACCATTCCTTTTCAACTTGTCATTCCTAGCATAATAGACCATATATTGTCAGATTAAAAATTGGTAGTGCCAGTCCATTTCCACTCACTGATGCCTGGGCTATAGACTTTTATGTGTTCCATTTCATTTTTACAACTTCCAATTTTCCTAGGTTCATACTTCATACATTTCAGGTTCTGATTATTAATGGATGTTTCCAGCTGTTTCTTCTCATTTTGAGTCGTGCCACATCAGCAAATGAAGGTCCTAAAAGTTTTACTCCATCCACTTTGAGGAGCACCTCTTCCCCAGTTGTATTTTAAGTGCCTTCCAACCTGAGGGGCTCATCTTCCAGCATTATGTCAGATAATGTTTCACTGCTACTCGTAAAGTTTTCCAGTAATATATCAGACAGTATGTCATTGCTATTCATAAGGCGTTCAGTGGCCAATTTTTTAGAAGTGGATAGCTCTTAGTCTGGAAGCTCCACTGAAACCTATCCACCATGGGTGATGCTGCTAATATTTGAAATACCATAGCTTTTCAGCCTCACAGCAACATTCAAGCCACTACAATATAACAACCTGACAGATGAGTTGTTGTTGTTGTTATGTGCCGTCAAGTCAGACCCGACTCATCGCGACCTCTCCTTGGGTTTCCGAGGCAGTATCACTACAGGAGTAGATTGCCAACCTTCCTTCCGAGGAGTGGCTGGTGGGTTTGAACTGCCAGCCTTCTGATCAGCAGTCAAGTGCCTTAGGCACTACGCTACCAGAGCTCCTGACAGATGAGTTGGTGGGGAGAAAGTGTTGTTGTTGTTGTTGTTGTTGTTATGTGCCGTCAAGTCGGACCCGACTCATAGCAACCCCTCCTTGGGTTTCCGAGGCAGTATCACTACGGAAGTAGATTGCCCCATCTTTCTTCTGAGGAGTGGCTGGTGTATTTGAACCACCAGCCTTCTGGTTAGCAGTCAAGTGCCTTAGGCACTATGCTACCAGAGCTCCAGGGAGAAATTATAGGAGATGCTAAAAGGGAATTCTAATACTGATCAGGTTGCTTGGGCACTTAGAAATTGTTTTTCTGTCAGGATAATGTCTGGTTTCTGGAGACCATATGTGTCTTCTTTTCATCCTGACTCTGATCAATACTGATAAAACACACAGCGGGTAGTAATGGTTTGGTATTAGGATAGACTTTGTCTACAGTTATCTTCACACCTATTTGCTGAATTTATCTTTTTTCTCCTCCTTCCAATTTGATGATTGCATGAGTACTTGAAGACAGAGATCTTTTTAAATAAATAAATAAATAAAACTACTGCCGCGGAGAGTCGTATCTGACTCAGCGACCCCTCCTTGGGTTTCTGAGGCAGTTGTCACTACGAAAGTAGATTGCCCAGTCTTCCTTCCAAGGAGTTGCTGGTGGGTTTGAACTGCCAGCCTTCTGCTTAGCAGTCAAGTGCTTAGGCACTATGCCACCAGAGCTCCTAATAGCAAGTGAAAAAAAAAAAAGTAAACACATAAGTGTAAGTTTGTATTCCCTTTGACCTGCAATCCTGCTTTCTGTAATTTCCCTAAAATCATAATCCTGAATTGAAAAATATATGCAGAAACTTCATTTCTTTATTCACTATTTAGTGAAAATTTGGAAGCAACAAAAATTCATAGCAACAGATACCAGTTTAGTAAATTTCAATATAAATTTATACCATATACACACACACACAAACACACACATACAGGAGCTCTGGTAGCATAGTGCCTAAGGCACTTGACCACTAACCAGAAGGCTGGCAGTTCAAACCCACCAGCCACTCCTTGGAAGGAAGGTTGGGCAATCTAATTCCATAGTGATACCACCTCTAAAACCCAAGGAGGGGTCGCTGTGACTCGGGCCCAACTCAACATAACAACAACTATATATATATATATGTTTGTGTGTTTATGTGTATATGTGTTTATATATAAATAAAGGAAAATTGTGCTTTATAATGGTATAATTTTGTGTATTTATTGACATGGAATGATGTTCCTCATAATGGAATAAATAATGTTTGTGACATTAATGAGAAAGCTAATTGCAGATCAGCATTTATAGTATGTTCCTATCTATATAAAATCATTTATTTCTGTATGTACATTTATTCAACAAAATATAAGCAGGTTTTCTAATGGGCAGATAACCCATGCTGAAAACAAGATGTAATTCTGAAATTCAGGTGCCCTTTTTAGTTGTTTTATATCATCATGTTAGCATAGTTTTAACGAAATTTTAACAATAATAAGTTAGCTCTTGAATCTATTTCTGTAGTTGTTTCTGTATCACTGAGCATGATGAACATGAACACCACAGTTGATTTCCTGGTATTGACTATGCCAGACTTGAATACCTTGGTGTTTTAATTATGTCCTTACCTTATTAGCTAACTCTACCTTAATGATAGGAGCTATGTTTGTTATAATTGGTTTCTGGGAATAGGCATCCTTTTTTTTTAATTCTTAAATGTGAGGTACATCCTCACCAGTTCGTGTAAAAATTATTTTCTGTTCTATTCAGGTGTAGAGTTCGGTGCGCGAATGATAACAATTGATGGAAAACAGATAAAACTTCAGATATGGGATACGGTAAGTATGGCAAAAGTACATTGTATGGCCTCAATAAAATTGTTTTTATAAAAGAACATGGTATGTTTGTTTTATTTTAATATTATTTTTATGTCTGTTATCATGGGTAATTAGATATTACCATACCTACAGCCATGAAATACTAGAGGACATTGTTTTTCTTGCAGTGTTTTCAGCAGTTATACCTACCATAGGTAGGTATTGGATATGGGTGACCATCCACAGGTGTTGGCTGTGGGTGAACATGACTACATGAATACTCAGGCACTGTGCTCTAAACAAAAAGATCTAGAAACTGTATCTGTAAGAAAAATAATTTGCATGTCAGTACATTAACTTAACTTGTTGTTTTATAGCTTATTAATTTATTTTAAAAGTTTGGTTTATTCCGAGCCCTTAGAAGACACCTTACCCTAATCCAGTGTTCTCATTCTCTCACTCATTGTTCATTGAGTGCCCATTGCCTGCCATGCTGTATAACTTCTAATAGTGGTTTCTCATCTGAACCACAGAGCACAGAAAATGATTTGAGTACCTATTTTCTCTCTCCTCCCATCTTAGATAAATAAAAGAGAAATTTTTATATACAGTGAATGTCTTAAGGCAGTTTTTCCTCAAACTTTTTTGTCCATGAACTGCTTCATACTTTCAAGGCCCCTCAAAGAGTTTTGTTTATGTGGCTTATGGCATCAATGTTTATCATATTAGAAATTGAAAATGAATTCATTGAATTGAGAAATGAAAATTGAATATTCAGTTACTAATTCATCTTAAAATTACAATAAGTGTTACATGTTAGGAGAAGTAATGTGATTTTTATGAAAGTTAATTTTTCCACAGTAAAAGTTGAGTCAAAGGAATGGCATTATGTTAACACTTTCTAAAATCTTTACTGTCTGCTTAATAGAAGATGACTGGATTCTCATGTCTTGTAGAATGAGTCTTGCAATATATTGCTTTGTTTGAAGTATATGGGAAAATATCCAGATTTACACAGATATTTAACAGGAAATGAAGGGGACCTTTTGAACGCTTGAAAAAACTTGAGGACTTTTGGAATCTTGGGATTACACTTTGAGAGCCACTGTCTTAGAGGATTGGCATTTAATTATTTCAAGGAAGCCTGTTTGAGCACTACAGGGACAAGAAACTATCTTAGCCATTTTATTGTACTTAGGCTCTAATGCTTACCTTCCACTGGTGGTCTCTAATTTCTTTTAAATGACAGCATTAAAAGACTCAGCAGTTGGCCGTCATATCTTCTTAAAGTCTCTTTTTCAAAATATCCTCAAGTTTTTGGAAAGAACATCTGCTGTTCTTTCAGGATATAAAGGCCCAGAATAAAATAATCTAGACTGACTTTCACTAAACTTGCACCATCCCTGCAGTGGACAGTAAGATACCCTAAGAATGACTGTGGAAGTTTATTCATCTTACTGACATTCAAAACAGGTCTTGTTCATACGGGTAGATTCTAAAGCATTTTCCTCCCTGATAGCACTTGATCACAGGTCTTGGTTATAAACTGAATCTATTTAGTAAATTAAATACCTGAGATTTAACACTTACGCACTGTGACATCTTATGTGACTATTTAGAAATTTTTTTTTCTTTTAGGTTCTTGTAGCTGAGGTTTTGTTAGCTAAATGACTGACGCTAAGTAAAGGGTCTTAATTCTTAAACTTTATTGGCTCTTTGGAATCAATCAGGATAACATATGAATGTGTACTGTAAGTATTCTTCCGTGTTGTTAAGTTAGTCTGTCCCTCAAGGGGAACTAAAGGGGGGAAAAACAGCATTTAAGCAGTGTTCATTTGATCTTATCAATAGCATTAGAACCAAATGACCACATGAAAGTGTTTGTGGGATTGTGAGGAGAAAAGGCTAACTATGGGCTGTGTTACATAAGCTTCCAAGCTTTGTGAAAGAATTAGGGCTTGAACTGGCTGGCCCTCAGAGGGATTAGAATTTGGGTAGATGAGAAAAAGGAAAAATAGTTTTTCAGACAAGGAGTCAAGCAGAGGCACAGAAGTGGGATTAAAGGCAAAATATAAGTAGATGAAAATAGATTTTTATTGACTAAGAAGATAAAATTCTAGAGAGATAAGTAGAGATTTGATTTCCAATAGTCTAGGACTTTAATTAAGGATATTGAGCAAGTTTCTACCAGTAACTTAGTATGTGTAAAGAGGAGAGAGGGAGGAGTTAAGATTGATGCCAGTTTCCAGCCTGCTTACTATAAAAATTGATACTGTTGACAGAAATAGGGAAAGTAGTTCAGGGACTCTTTATCTGACAGTTGGAAGTAACTTTTAAAGTTATGAGGCAAAGAATCATAATAAATTTCATAATCATCACATGGGAAATGAAAGTCTGTAAGGCTTCTGTACAAATGTTCCGTGACTCTGATATTTTTGGTTGTGTTATTAGTAGTTTTATTCATAATAGAAAAAAAATAAACCAATATCCTTCAATGGATATTAATAGTTAACACTAACTGTGGTACATCATAGTGATGGGAGAGAACCAAACAGAAACAAACCACTGATGCACAAATGCCTTCAATTAGAATAGTGTGAGTTCTAATATTAGTTCATAGTGAGACTTCTGGCAAGTCATTTAACTTCTCTGATGTGTAAATACTAGTGATAATTTGTCTCCAAAGAGTAAGCCAGCTTGCTCTTAGTGCAGTCTTCAAACACTTTTCCAACTCTCATTTTTTTCCCAAACCACAGAGAACTCACTACCTTCAGTGCCTCATGTTTAATTAATGGTAAGACTCATACCAATAGCACATTGTTTGGGGAATCACTATAAGCCAGGTATTATGCTGGCCCCTTCACCCCAACTCATTTAAGTGGTGTGTGTGCACATATTGTTAGAGAAAGCATACTGGGTCTCTCTCTGTCTTTAGCAGAGCCCACTTGAAGGCAAAATGACAGCAACCCTTCCATGTTGTTGAGTCATAAGAGATGCAGCAGGTGCCATTTCTGGAGGGCTTATCACAAGTGAAGCCAGGCACAGTTCTAAGTATATTACGTATGTGTTCTGGAATCTTTCTCCCAACCCTGTGAGGGAGGGACTGATAGTTCCTGATTTTACAGAGTAAGAACTTGAGGGTTAGTGAAGATTAAGTAATTGAAAGAACTGTGAAAGTGGTAGCTGTTTTGTTTCAGGTGGACTTTGATTTGCATAACACATTTCTGAGACTGAGGCTTGCAATGAAAAATCCCCTTGCAGATTGCAAAGATGCCTTACTTTGGGAAATGAATAGTCCTACCCTTCAATGACTCTTTGTTAATCCATTTCCTCATGCCCAGTTCCCCAAATCTTGGCATTTTGGAGCTGAAAGGGACTCTGAGGCAACTTACTTTAAAATCAGCAGATTGAGACACAAAGAAGGTAAAGGAATGGCTCCAAGTTACAGAGTCTGGCAGCAGCAAATCTGAGACTGAATGGAACCCCAGTCCTTTGACTTTCAGGACTGGGTGACCCAGTTTCTTAGGTAAATGATGAGAGATCCATGACTCTGAGTATAATGAGTATGCCCACAAGGCAAACTTAGTCTACTCTTTGCATACTTGGATATCTTTTCTACAAAAATCAAACAAATGGCTGTATGTTATGAGCCATCAAAAGCTCATGGTCTGTCTACTTTTACCACCTCTACCCTGGGTTGGTTGGTTCTCTGGTGCTGTTTAGTTAGCCATTCATATTAAATGCATTTTTTACACCCTTAGCTACTCAGCAGTCCCTCAGTGGTGTAAATGGTTAAGCGCTAGACTGTTAACTGTAAGGTCAGTGGTTCACACCCACTCAGAGATGCCTTGGATGTAAGACCTGGCCGTCTACTTTGGAGAAGTCACAGTCTTGAAAACCCTATGGATCTATTCTGTATACCTGGGGTCTCCATGAGTTAGAACTGACTAAATGACAACACCAGTTTTTATTAGGAACTCCAGACTACAAAGAATTCTGCATTCTGCTTAATTTCAAGGTTCTAAAACCCCTTTAAACCGGTACCGTATGGTGAAGAAGATCAAACATAATATCTATTTCCTAGGATGACATTCTTTTTAACTTAAAACAGTATAGATTAACCAGAGTGTGAACAGGTTTATACTAAAATACTTTTAAAAGTCTAGATAGTTAACCATTGGGCAGGCTTTGTACTATTGCTTGCTGTTGTTTAGCCATTTATTATAAAGAAGCCATAATAAAATACTTAACTGGGCAAGATTGATTTCAAGGCCACCAGTCCCATTACCAAGAGACTGAGCCCAGAGTGATGTTTTTCATACAAGTCAAGTCTCAAGAACTTGAAAACTATTCTGAATACTGTTCTTTGCTTATTTACAAAGTAATCAGATTTTATGATGCATAGCTACATTCATACTCTTCATTTGGAACTTGTGGTTTTTTATTTGTTTGGGTTTTTGTTTAATTTTGTAATAAAGAGCAAAATCCAGATTCACTGAATTTAGTACAAAGTTATTTCCATATGAGAACATGTTTGTTTGCAAAACAATTTGGGAGAAATAGGAATAGTATATAAATGTGTACTTTTGTTCTTTTCCTAAGTTTGTTGTCCCTTTTATTGTGTTACTATATCATGTCTGGGCTGTAAACAGAAGTTTTAAATCCTGTAGTGGTATTTTTTTTTTAGCAGTGTATTTATTTTATTTGATTCAACAGAGTGTCCCAGCAAGATTGTCATAAGAGTTTATCTAATAGAACTTTTCTATTTTGCTCAGTGTTTAGGCATGGAAGATAGAAGAGCTCTAAACCTGATTTTTATTTTGAACTAATAAACCATTTTGGGCAAGTTATTTAACTTTTCTGATTGTTTGTTTGTATCTTCACCTATGAAATAGGAAATAAGAATAATTTCTATGACCATAGAATTATTGAGGGGATTTCACATTATGCATGTAAAGCATTCAGAATAGTAGCTGGCATATTTAAACAATGTGTAAATACTAGCGATAATTTGTCTCCAAAGAGTAAGCTAGCTTACTTTCAGTGCAGTCTTCAAGCACTTTTCCAACTCTCATTTTTTCCCAACCACAGAGAACTCACTACCTTCAGTCCCCTATTTTTTTGTGTTACTTACTACAGAATCTGTTCTTGGTATGTGTGATTCACAGTGAATATGATTCACAGTGAAATGACTCACTTAACAATCTAGTCTTTAGTTTTGCCGTGCTAAGTTTGGTAGTTAAGGTTATGTGTCAGCTTGCTGGGCCTCGCTTTGAGTGGCTGGGCAGCTGGTTGTAGTTATTCTCCATGATGAGACGGGCAATCAGCTCCATGGTGGAATCTGCCGCAAGCAGCTGAGTAGCTGCCTTAAGGATGTGGTCTACTTCCAGTGTATAAGAAGCAGCTTTGAGAAAGGCCTCTGCAACTTTTGGCACTCTCGACACCTGCGTGTAGCCAAGTCTTCATTCAGCAGCTTGCCTTGTTTCCTGCTGATCTTGGACTGTCTCTGGACTTGAACTAGTGGCCTGCCATGTTGTTTAGTAATATTGAGACTGTGCCATTTTAATTGTTGACTTTGGGCTTGTTAGCCTCAGCAGCCAGCAGCTGCTTGAGTGAAGAGATGCCTCTAGCTTCAGTGCGCCAGGAGCAGGAGGCAGAGCTGAAGCCCAAGGTTGAGGGGCTTTCACCCAGCCCCTAGAGCTCGCACTTTAAACTTGGACTTCTAGCCTCCAAAACCGTAAGAATAAATCCTTGGATGGTTCAGGCTGTCCATTTATGCTATTTTTGTTAGAGCAGCACAAGAGGTAGCTAAAACACTAAGCAATTAAAAAAATATAACAACTCCCATAATGCTTACATCTTGGACTTGCATTTGAAAGGTATGCCTCAATAAATATATATGAAAATATTTTAAAATTTTACGTTTCCAACTATTATAGTTTTTTAACCTCAAACTGTGTAGAATGAGTTGGCTTTTTTAAATACTACTTTTATTGATGAATTTTTCAATCTCATTTTAGCATCAGACGAAAGTGCCAGAGTTGCTCTTGAGTTACCATGAGAAGCTCTAATTGTTAGTTTCTGTGTTGGAGAAGTTTTTTCACTGAATCTTAGCATGTTAGAATTTACCCATGCCCACTCTTTAGATGGGATACAGTAGTGACCATTTTGCGCATATGACTCAGACATTTGAATTCATTCACTCAGCACACTTTCTCCGTGTGCCTGCTGTGTGCCATGTCCAGTGCTAGCAGTGGAGATTATAGTGGGAGGATATACAAGAACAAGGAATTATAAAGTGTTGAGTACTAGTATTGGGCAGAGTATAAGTGGCCTGGATATACATTCTGAGGGTGGAAAAGGCTTGATATTCACACTGGAAGATCAGAATTTGGAACATGGAAACATGTTCTTAAAGAAGTTGGTAGAATTTGAATTAAAAAAATGTTAAACATTTTATTTTTTAATTTTATTTGTCTGCTTATTTTTTCCCCCAAATGTAGAAAAGTGGCTAAAATGAAAAGTTGGTAGCAACTCCTCAGCCTTAAATTCAGAGGCAATAGTCATATCCCTCATCAGCCTTTCTTTTTTTAAAAAAAAAAAAAAAACTTTTTGCATAATTTCTGGTGTCTATTTCAGAAGTGCATGTGAAGATGATTTTTCCATCCTGTTGCCTTTTGACAAGCAAAATATATAAAATATGGAGAAAATTGATTAAGTGTAGAGGGCAAATTATATAAATTAAATTCAGGACTATTTTCTGTTCCTCATAATAAAATGATTACTCAAAGAATTCCATCTGATGACTATTGAAAGCTAACTGCGGTTTATGATATAACTGATAAAATCTGCATCCTTGGCCTTCCAACAACCTTTATGCCAGCAGATGGTGGGCGTAAAGATGTCATTCATCATTTATTTACAATGGGCTTTATTTATTCAAGTGTCAACAGCTGCCCCAGGGAGTGGGTTATTGAATTCAAATGTGAAGCTCTGGGTTATTTGCGTCCTTTCAAATTTGTCTTCAGAGCTTAGTTGCTAGGAGTCCATTCTGTCCTCTAATAATGATTCATGTATTGTGAAGCCAGTCAGTAAATTGGGTTGTCAGGGATTGCCAAAAAGGGTTTAAGAGGTCTTGTTTCTTGAGGGTAGAGGGGGCTGGTGTCTGCATGTATGTCTGGTTGACTTGAGCAGTAGTGGTATTATGTAACTTTTTCATAAAGCTGGTGATACTAAGTTTTTTTCTTTTCCTTTATATACTCTTTCCCTCCCTATTTTCTTCATATGAATACTTTGAAAAATGTAGAGGTCAGTTTACTAAAGGAAAATTCTCCACTTTTTCTTTCTTAACAGGCAGGGCAAGAGTCGTTTCGCTCCATCACAAGGTCATATTACAGAGGTGCGGCAGGTGCTTTACTAGTGTATGATATTACAAGGTGAGAACCTGGAAATATTTCATTTCAGTGTTTAATATAGAGATTTTTCTAAGTAAATATGATTACCAGTACTGAATATATAGCTTTGCCCTTTATGCTCTCTCTAGATGTTTGCCTTTAAAACTTGGATTTCTTGAATCTAATTTAAATTTACTACAGGAATCTACAACTACATTCTATTTCTTGTATGAATAAGCAACCTAAAATTTATCAGTTTTGTATTATTATTATTTATACATTAGAATTTTCTAGAGTGATATTACATTTAATTTGTAAATTGAAATGCAATCAGTGAGATCTAGACCCAGGTATTGTACTTGAGAGCTGTTTCTCATTACCTAAGTAGATCTGGCTTTAATGGAATTTATATACCATTCATATATCCCCTTTATGGGAAATACTTTTTAAATAGTAATTAAATTATTATTTATGTTTAGGAGAGATACATTCAACCACTTGACAACCTGGTTAGAAGATGCCCGCCAGCATTCCAATTCCAACATGGTCATTATGCTCATTGGAAATAAAAGGTAAAAAGATTGAGACTTAGCATTTATAGCGTATTAATGATGAAGAATGTGGATTACTGTTTATTTTACTGTTTTTCTTACTCAAATGTGTAAATGTACATTACTGATTCTTAAATTACAAAATTTTCAAAATTCTAATATATTTATTTTTAAGTTTCTTAAAATACAGATAATAATTGTTGGGATTCCTATAATGGTTTCTTTTTCAGAACTGTACTTTAACAAAAAATGAAAGAGTTTTACCTGGTCATTGATTTATATGAAGGAAAGGTGACTTAAATATTATCCAGTTATTTTAAATATTTGCATTAGAAGTAAGTATCTATACAGAGCTTAGAAACATATTCTCCTTTTTCATGGCTTAATGTTCATTCTGTGAATTAATACAGTATGAAGATCAGTCAGATGTATTTCTACTTAAAGTCCTGAAACACTGTTATTTATCGCAGTAGTTTTAAGCATATATCTGTGTCTTTTATTTATCTCATTAATTAATAAAGGTTCCATTAAGATACTACAGCTGGTTTAAAGGAGAACTCAGAGTACTTAAAATTATGTAAGGAATGTTGAAATGAATTTATAGATGGATCTAAAGCTGATCAATATACACAGAATGATAACTGTATTCCACTGGGCACAGTTTGCATTTCTGTGGACAGGAAATACTTGTATTAGTATACATTTTGACAAGTTAATTTCTGTGTCTACAAGTCTTTCAAAATTTGTGGGATGCAGCTAAGGCAGTACTTACGGGGAAGATAATAGCACTAGACATTTATAATAGATGTTGTTCTTATGTGCCATCGAGTTGGACCCGACTCATAGCGACCCCTCCTTGGGTTTCCGAGGCAGTATCACTACAGAAGTAGAGTGCCCCATCTTCCTTCCGAGGAGTGGCTGGTGGGTTTGAACAGCCAGCCTTCTGATTAGCAGTCAGGTGTCTTTAGGCACTATGCTACCAGAGCTCCTTTATAATAGTTAGAAGTTTTAAATCAGTAACCTAAGCTTCCACCTTAAGAAATTAGAAAGATAAGAGCAAATTAAACTCAAAATAAGCAAAATGGTGATAATAAAAAGCATAGAAATTAATGAAGTAGAAAAATAATGGAGAAAAATCAATGAAAAAGAAAGCTAATATTTGAGAAGACAAATAAATATTGACCATGGGAAAAAAGAGAAGTAATGCCATTAGGCTGTACACTTAATAATGCCTAAAATGACAAATTTTATGTTGTATATATTTTACCACAATTAAAAAGTTAACAAAAATGAAAAGTAAAGCTACAGACTAGGAGAGGAATATTTGCAAAACATGTATCTGACAAAAGATTTATATCTAGAGTATATGAACAGTTGTTACAAGTCATTAATAAGAGAACAACCCAGTTTTTAAAAATAGGTGACAGTTCTCAAACTAGTACTTCACTAAAGATTTACAGATGGCAGATAAGCACATTAAAATATTTAAAAATACATCATTAATAATGGGGGAAGTGAAGGTAACAATCACAATGGTTATACTAATGCACTCACTAAAACAGCATAAATTGAAAAGATTAATTATATCAAGTGTTGGCAAGGATGTGGAGGAACAGAAACTCGTATATTGCTGGTTGGAATGTAAAATGATACATCTTCGTTTGGAAAACAATTTGCTAGTTCCTTAAAATTTAAACACGTCTGTGGTACAACTTAACCCATTTCACTCCTAGGTAATTACTAGAGATACGTTCACACAAAGAATTGTACATGAATGTTTGTCTCAATTTTATTTATTTTGTCTTTATTTTATGTAACTAAACACTTGAAAAAAACAACTGTCCATTAATGGAATAATAGATTGTGAAATCACTGAATACTGCTCAGCAATAAAGAAAAATTAATTACTGATACACAAAACAAAATGGATAAATCTCAAAATAATTATGCGGAGTAGAAAAATAAAAAAAAAAGAAGACATGCTGTATGATTACATTTATATAAAATTCTAAAAAATGAAGACTAATCTGTAATGACAGATAAGTGGTTGCCTGTGGTAGAGGGGGATGAAGAGATTGATTACAATGGGAAGTGAGGAAACTTTTTGGGGTGATGGTTTCACAGGTCAAATTTTGTACTTTATTAATTTGCAGTTTCCTGTATGTCCGTTTTACCTCAGTAAAGCTCTATAAATCAATAAACTACCAAATAACATTATAGTGTAGAAAAAGAAAATATTCCAAAAGTGATATTACCATGGTAAAAGCCAACTCCAGATTACTTCTTTGTAACCAGGAGTATCATCATTTTGGTATTCACTCAAGGTCTGTCTTGGGTGTTTTTTCCTCATTTAACATCATCGCATTAAACCTTTTAAGATTAAGGCTACTAGAGGGACAATGTAGTCTTTCTACTTCAGAAATATTTTTGGTACCACTCAGTGGTGATATCTGAAATAAGACAAGACTATCTGGAGAAAAAAGATAATTTTGAAGTTCTTTTATCTTACCAGTTTTTTCCTGTGTCTGAAACATAGTGGGTGGCAACTATAAAACCTCAAAAAATCACTAAAGTTTAACCCTTTTAGATATTTTTAGATATCTTGTAATTATTTAGAGAAGTGAAAAAAATAGCTATTGATCTTGTACTATAACTATGTCTAGTGTTTTTGTTCTTGCTGAATTGGTGGCTTAAATTTGGTTGCTGATCATGAGGAGCTTGTAGCCCAAATGTGAAAAAGAAAAGCAAAGGATAGTGTTTATGTATATAAGAAGTGTTTCCAATAATGGTAGATAGATGACTATTATAATTAGGTGTGGAAGGAAGTTTTAAGGAAGAAACTAGGAGAAAGGGAAAATAGGAGAGGGTATGATACGCAAAGAATGAATGAGAGTTCTGACCAGGGACACAGTAGAAGGTCCCAGATATTAATGGGAAAAAATGTGAAACAAAACTCAGATTTCTTTAAAAAAAGAGGCCAGACTAACTGGACTAGAGACTAGAGAAACTGATGAGACTATTACCCTAACATAACCTTTGAACTTGGATTTGAAGTTATTTCTGTAGGTCCCCTCTCAGCAGAATAATAGATTGGCTTATAAAATAAATTGTATCACCCATGAGTAACATGCTCCATTAAGCAATTATCTACATGAGACCAAACCATTCACATTTACCTAGAAGTAAAGATGAAAAGGTGTCGTAATTATCTAGTGCTGCCATAACAAAAATATCACAAATGGATGGCTTTAAGAAGCAAATTTATTCTCAAAGTTTATGAGGCTAAAAGTATGAATTCTAGGGGAAGGCTTTCTCTCCTGTCAGCTCTAAGGGAAGGTCCTTGTCTCCTTTCAACATCTGTGGGCCTGGCATCCCTTGGAGATCTCCGTGCATCTGGTATCAGTCTTCCCTGGGTCTAGGAGGTTCTCTGCATAGGGAACCAAGGTCAGAAGGATATGCTTCACTTCCAGCTCTTCTTTCTTTGAGGTAGTGAGGTCCCTCTCTACTGGCTTCTCCTTTTATCTCTTGTGAGATAAAAGGTGATGCTGGCCATATCCCAGAGAAACTCCCCTTACATCAGATCAGACCAACCTGAGTAAGGGTGGTACCTTCCACTGTAACCTTGCCTCATTTACATGTAGAAGTCAGGATTAACTACACATCACATATCAGATCAAAACATCAGATTACATCTTGGGGATGATTATATCATTATATAACTGCCAAACACTGACAATCATGGCCTAACCAAATTGATACATACTGTAGGGAGAAAATTCAATCCATAAACATTAGTCAAGGCAAGGAAAGAAAGCTAGATCCATGGAAACAGAACAAACAGAATGGAAATAATGAGAATGTTGACACAAATTGTAAAAATTACAATCAATATTATCGAACAATTTGTATAAAAACTGTTAAAGAGGAACCTTAATTTGCTCTGTAAACTTTGACCTAAAATACTAGCATGTTGTTATTAATGCCATCGAGTTGAACCCGACTCATAGCGACCCCTCCTTGGGTTTCTGAGGCAGTATCACTATGGAAGTAGATTGCCCCATCTTCCTTCCGAGGAGTGGCTGGTG